ACACACACACACACACACACACACACACACAGTTAGAGCTGCCCTGGTCCTGAATTACAGCACCTGAAAACGATTCTGATTTTCACATTAGAGTGCTGGCCGTCTCACTTCTCCCCCAAATAGCCAGTATTTAAGGAGCAGCCACTGCACGTTAGACCTTCTTATCTGTTGACCCATCAGCTAACAGACTTCCTGTCACTGAGGTGACACCCGGGAGAGAATGAGTGTGTGTGTCCAGAGCCTGAGGAGCCTGTCCTGCTGGTTTTCTTTGCTGAGGTAAGAGGGCTGTGGAGGGGGGTGGGGGTGGGGGGGTGTTCATAGTTATGGGAGAGCCACCTCCCACCTTGGGGCAGGCAGCCGCCTGTTCTCAAGCACCCACACCACACTGCCTGACCCCAACGCAGAAACATCATCTCGAGCCAGCTTGGACTGACCTGGCATTTAATTCCAGCCTGGCTACAGGCACACACTTCTGGGTCACAGTAGAGCCGACAATCACAGCCACACTCTTCCCGAGAGAGGCGGATGGCTCGAAGTTCTTGCTTCTCTTCGGCATCGATGCGGTGAACCCCAGATGCCCTGAGCAGGGCCCGCCGCCGCTTGGTGGGCAGAGGCTGCAGGAAGAAGTAGTCGTCCACCTCCACGTTTTCCACATCAATGTCTTCGTCAGAGACGTCATCCAGGGTCAGGCCATCAGCCTCCACCGACTCTACGGTCCCATTCTTGGTCAGCTGCCGACAGACAGGGGAGTTAGCCCGGTGGCACTCGACGCCAACACCCTCACAGACGGTCTCAAGCAGTCCCGCCCTGCACCCGGCCCTCCCTCCTTACTCATTACTCACAGTATAAAGCTCGCATTACACACGCCCAGGGTCCCAGGTACTGGGACCAGGGTCACCATGGTAAGCCCAGCCCAGCCCAGCCCCACGAAGCTCATGTCCCTACGTTATGATAGTTAACAATAAGTGATCATTCTAGATTACAAGTTCCCAAATACATTTGGCCTATCAGCCTCTTTTTAGCCGGGGGTGGGGGGGAGTCACCCAATTGGCAATTTAAAGTGTTTGGACTCCAGTGCATAATCCAGGAAAAAGTGTAGGTATCTGCTCTCCCAGGGGCCCTGGTGCTGTCGTGGTTACACAGTGGGCTGCTAACTGCAGGGTCAGTGGTTCAAAACCACCACCAGCTCCCACAGTTAGTCTCAGAAACCCACAGGGGCCATTCTACCCTGTGCTATCCGGTCACTAGGTTTTGGGACTCAGCTCGATGACAGTGAGTTAGTTTGGCTTACGGGTATCGCTCTAGAGCCACCCCCCCTGGCGGGGTGGGGTATCACCCACTTTGGGAAGCACCGTTGTTGCTGAGCTGGTTCCCACTCACAGGGCACAACACACTGTGCATCCAACAAAGTAGCCGCTAGATGTGTGTGACCGTCGAGTGTGACTCAGAGACCCTGTGGGTCAGGGGAAAGGACTCCAGAGTTCCTGGGCTGTGACTATAGGGCAGCCACCTCGTCCTCACACTCACTAGCCCAGCTTCATGCCGCGACTCAGCACTTGAACTCTCGCCCTGCCGCTGAGGAAGAGAATTCTAAATCTTATTTTCATCGAACTCAAATAGCTGCATCCAGGCACATGTCCTTTTAGTGTGCTTTGAGAAAACGGTACTGTCTAAAAACAGCAAAGGCCGTATGTAGCTCCCCTGCGTCCCGACATTCAATGGGCACCGTTTCCCAGCAGCATGCGCACACGCTCCATGTCTCTGGGTCACACTTGGGCAATTCTCACACTGAGGCAAGCATGTTCCCTAATGCTACTCCACTTAGGTGGAGTACCAAGTAAGCCCCCAGATCAAACCCACTGTGACCCTGTGCAGGACACAGAACTGCCCTGTTAGGTTTGCGAGGCTGTCAATCTTTACTTCTCTCTTCTGTGGAACGTCTGGTAGGTTTGAATTTCTGACCTGTGGTTAGCCACCCAAAGCCTGACTGTGCCCCCAGGACTCACTCCTCTTGTAGCCCCCCTGAAGGGTAAGTAAACGTAACGCTTAATACGTGCTCCTAAGTGAGAATCCATGCAACTCACTCAGTGTTTGGAACACAAACTCAAGGTATGATCAGATATAGGGGAAGTAAGAGGTATTGCTATGAAGCCCACAGAAACCTTCCTGAAGCAAAACCAAAATCAAAATGTGGCGCTATTACTTCTTGACGTCTCCACCCTGCCGGGCTGCATGCGCCTGAAGGAGACATTCCCTCTCTCGAACCTTCCTCCGCCCTCCAGAGTCCCAAGCTCTTCTATTTCTACCTTGTCCCCAGAGGAGGGCTGGCCTCTTTCCCCGCACTCAAAGGGACTTGATTTCAAATGCTCTTTGAGTTCTGGGCACAGAAGTATGAGAGGGGAAGATCAGGGTGGCAGGGTGCCGAGGGTCAGGGTCCCCCAACAGAGTGTGCGTAAGACAGCCTTTGTTACGACTCTCCTACAACAATTTTCCTTGGTCAAGCCAAGATTAGTCTCTGCTGAAATTGTCAACACCATTAACAACTGATCCTGCCTAGAAGAGTGATGGAAAGACAGATCAGCTCTTGAGGGTGGCGGATCTTCAAAAGCAACACTGCTAGCACTCACCTAGGCAACAGTTTGCTGAGGCCAAGACAGTCACTTCACACGGAAAGTGCCAAGCTGTGTGAGGACCCAGCCTTCAGGAGCCACATGCTACTGGTGACTCTCTGGTTTTCTTCCACCCACCTCTGGACTTCAGCCAGTGTCTGCATTCAACTTCGTTAAACCAATCCAAGGATCGCCCTACTGGTCCCCCACCCATTCTGAACAACAGCAATGTGGGGGAAGGGAGACGGCGGACAGTGTAAGACAGGAAAACAATCACCATTTACTAAGGGTTCATGAGGGCGGAAGGGGAGGGGAAGGAGGGAGGAAAAAAAGAGCTGATACCAAGGCTCGGGTAGAAAGAATGTGTTTTGAAAAGGATGATGGCAACATATGTACAAATGCGCTGGATACAATCGATGTATGGATTATTGCAAGAACTCTAAGTGACCCCAATCAAAGGATTTATTTTAAAAAAAATTTTTAAGGTCCCTAATGAGACTATCACAAGTGTATTACTGAGAGAGCTTGTCTACAGCCACTTACTGATCAGAGACGTATTTAAACACATGTGTTTGGAATAAACTCATGCATGGGCGGATTGAGGCGCTCTGGTGGCACAGTGGTCAGCCATTGGGCTACTAACTGCAACGTCGGCAGTTTGAAACCACCCACTGCTCCCTGAGAGAGATGAGGATTTCTACTCCTGTAAAGAGCCACAGTCTTGGAAACTCACAGGGGCTCTGCTACCCTGTCCCATAGGAGAGCTATGAGTTAGCATCAACTTAATGCCATTTTTCAAAATGTATGAACCAAAGGCCTATTAGCAATGCTTGTTACCTTGTCCTCGGATGCACGCTGTATGGCACCTGTCAAGAGAACAAATCCTGAAACCAGAAGCCTGATGCAACTAACACTGCGTGTCAGCACAAAGGACATCACACTTTGGGGACCAGTTTCCCAGATCCTTGCCTCATCTTCCCATGGATCTTCCTGCCTCATATTTCCCTCAACCTGAGTCCCCTGCCCTCGACCACACAGGCAAGGTGAGTTAGTTAATTGTGCCAGCCTGGCCAATAATCACATGTGGTGCTGGTTGAAAGGCGGAGGGATAAATGGGTGGTGAGCCTCGGCCTTTCTAGTTCTCGGGTCTCTTGTTTTGTGATGGTTGCATCGGGTGCAGCTGCCTTAGCAGTTCCCTGCTTCAGCTTGCAAGATGGATTTCCTACAAGACATCCCCAAGGAGAAGCCGTATGGATCTATCCTGATGCAACCCTGGGTGCTGGAGCAGCCATGTGGAGACCCCTGCCAGTGCTGAGATGCTTACACGTTCACTGACTCAGCTTTCCTCCTGCAGTCGGCATTATTGCCTCTGTTTTGTGAGGTGAAGGACTTTGTGGACTGGTGTTGGGTATGGGTTAATGTTGGACTTGTGGGCTTGGGCAGCATTGGGTTGGGATGTTTTCGTGATGCACCTTTTCTTTACATAAAACTCTCTCTTATACGTGAGTCGCCGTGGATTTGTTTCTCCAAAGTACCCAGACTAATACACAAGGGGATCCAGTTGGCTGATGTTTCTTAAGAGACAAGCCAAAAGGTGTTTTACGAAGTCATCTCACCAAACAGCCTTTCGCGTGTAGTCTCCCCTACCAATGAGCCCAAGACCACCTTCTGAGAACAAGGACCTTGACGTGTGGAGCAAGGCCACCGGGTCGTCCTGTGACCGGGAACCCCCAGTGTGATGTGTGCACACAGAGGCGCCTCACTGTGAGGCGAGAACACGAGCCGATTGCTAAAGCCCAGGCTCCCAAGCCAGGCCTGGAGGAACGTGTTCTTTCTCCTCTCTCCCTTTTTGACATGATCTCGAAGAGCAGCTGTGTTGGAGGGAGAGGGGCTGGCGTGACACAGAGGGGACTACTGACCGGCTGCAATCTGGGCTCCCAGGCAGCCAGCGAGCCTGGAAAGGGAAGCTTAGTGCAAGGACAGGCTGAAGGGACTCTGGCTGGACGAGCTCCGAGGTTCCCCGGAGAATTCAAGCCAGAAAACGAGGCCTTCCGTGTCCCCAGGCTCCGGAAGCTGCTGGCAGCGCACACACCGTAGCTGGAGGCTTGGCCGATTTCGTCAGACGGCTGCAGGTAGCGCAGGTAAAGGGGCTGCCCCTGGGAGCGGTGATGCAAGTGGCTGGGGAACCAGCTAGCTGCACCCCAAGCCTCCCTGTCTTTTTTTCTTTTGGTGGAGAAAGGAGGAGGGAGTTCGATGGAATTTTGGGAGTTCCCTATCTGCACCAGGCAAGGCCGGCTCTCGGCCCTTTCCGGCGTTGGCAACTTCCTAGTCACCCTCCTCCCTCTTCTCAAAGGGCAGGGGTGGGATGCGGCAGTAAGAAACCCACGGAGCTGTGGGAGTTAAGTGTCTCTGGACAGAGGCAGCCTTCTGACCCAGAGAGAAAAGAGCCTGCTGCCCATTAAATGGCACGGGGCAAGTGGACATTCTTTGGAGAAGAAAACTCGGTTCCCAATTCATATCAGTCATCATCACAAATGCACAGGGGCAGTTCTGCCCTGTCAGATAGGGTCAGAGTCAGAATCGCCTCGTTATCCACTTTATGGCAACGAGCATGCAGGTAAAAGGCATATATGTAAACAGTAAAATCCTACGAAAAAGTCAGGTAGCAAAAGCGGCAGAGCACAGGCAGCGACTGGTGATGGCAGCCCAAAAGGAAGACAGGCAGGAGAGAGCACACCAGAGGGGCCGACAACGCCTTTCATGACCAACTGCCTTCCTGACAGAAGCCCGTGGTCACAGGCTGGGGTACTCATGGAAAGGTTGGCAGTTCAAACCTACCCAGAGGCCCTGGAGAGAGTAAGGCCAGGAGAGCTGCTTCGCAAAGGTCATGGCCTGGAAACCCCCAGGAGTCAGAATCATGAACCGACAACAAGCTCCCCCTGCAGGGGAGACAGGATAGGCATATGAGGGCTTCTCGTGGGATCTGCACCGGATCTGCTCCTGAGACCCTCCACCCTGTAGCTCAGTCTCATTTGCCTGGCATTGCTGGCACAACTCCGAAGGGGGGGGGGGGGGGCAGGAAAGGTAGGGAACAGGACAGAATCCTGTTTCCACAGGTCACCCTTCCATGACACTGAGGAGAGGGGAAGTTTACTCTAGGGAGAGGGAAGCCAGCCTCCCACTGACCAGATTATTTGCCCAGCTGTTGCCATAGCAGCAGGAAGGTGAAGGGGCCTATGATGGAATTCCTCAGACAGAAGGAGTCGGAAGGTCACCGCAGTTAGACAGACAGGCACAGGTGGGCTCAGGGATGTGCCCCAAGAGCGCTCCCAGGGAGACAGGAAGGGGACCTGGTCAGCCCCCACCCTCCAATATCGGAGTGTGTCTTGGATACTGGGTATCAGCAGCTAGTCACCTGCTTTCAGATGGGTCAGCACACTCTGGACCCCCAAGAGACACCCGGTCAGCCATAAAGCTGTGTTCCCACGTTTGGTACCACACACTCTGGGGGACATTGCTGAAGACGGGTCGACACTTTGGCACTAAAATAGCACGTGAGGCTGGGGTGCGTGACAAAAGCCCTTCTGAGAAGTGTCTCTCCCTGTGCCTTTCACCTCCCAAACTTGACCCCTGGTTGTGTCAGACGCAGGCTCAGTACTACGCAGGTCGCCGCACTGGTCTGGTCATGGTGCTGCTGCGGCGACTGGAGCAGCGGGGCTGGCTGGCTGTGGGAACAGCAGGGTTCCTTCAGAGAAAGTGGAGAGCCACAACCTGGCCGGCCCACGGGCCGAAGGCAGCGTCAACCTGTGCTTCTGTCCTCAGGGCCCAGGGCAGCACACTGCAACGCCTCCCAGCAATCAGACTGTACACTTCACAACCAAGTGGGCATGTGTGGGCCTGAGGGTGGGGGATCCCGCGGAAGCCACTCAGCACCTCAGATTCAGACTTGACTGCAAATGAGGGACTTCTCCAGGAGAAAGGTGTGGGTCCCCTGGGTAGGAATCTCTCTGCAGGCCAAAGCTGACCATTCATGAACCATCAGTGGGTCTAAGCAGACAAGATGGACATCCCATTCTCTGCTGGGTCTACGGAGTGAGAGCCAGAGCATGAGCAGACGCACACACTCCCACGTGCGTTCTCAACAGCAAGACGGAAACAACCTGAAAACCCAGCAGGAGGGAGAGGAGGACACTTTGGAACACACACTCAGTGGAACACTACGAGCCCCTGAAAAGCAAGGAGGAAACCAGGAAGCACGTCACAGCCTGGGTGAACCCGGAGAACTTGCCAAAACGTTAGCCGATCGCTGAAGGACAAGCATAGGAAACAACTGTCATAAAGGGGGAAAAATTCGAGAAAGGTTTTCCTGCCAAAAGAAACAGACTTTAACGGGCGCGCAGGTGAGGGAAGAAGTGACAGGCTAGCGTGTAGACAGGTGTAAACCTGTGTGAAGGGGAAGAGAGACCAATGGGGGGAGGAGAGGCAAGCTCTTAGGTTTGATAAGTCGTTTAAAGTGATTGAATACAAAACGGATGATGTGAAATAAAAACCCACACATAATTCAAAATAAAAAACAATCAGTGGGCCTAATGTGCCCATTGCTGAAATGGCAAATATTTTGCCACTACTATCTATTTCCCACAGTAAAAGAAAAATCAATGCAGCCATCAATGGCCCTAGAGAAGCGGTTCTCAACCTGTGGGTTGGCGCGATCCCTTTGGGGGTTGAATGACCCTTCCAAAGGGGTCGCCTGATTCTTAACAGTAGCAAAATGGCAGTTATGAAGTAGCAACAAAAACAATGTTATGGTTAGGGGTGGTTCACCACAACAAGAGGAACTGTATGAAAGGGTCGAGGCATTAGGAAGGTTGAGAACCACTGCCCTAGAGTTTGGCACTGCATCTTGGCACATGGGATGCCCCACCCCCTTACGCACCTTCATCTTCTTGGCGTGGAGTTTCTCCTCCTTCAGGTGCTCACGCAGGGTCTCCCGGTGGCTCACCTCCTGCTCCTGGGCAAACTCACAGAGCGTGTAGCTGCGGACCGAGTTGTGGCGCTGGGCCATGCCCAGAGAGCTGCCACCCTGACTGGGCACGCTGGTGAAGCCCTGGCGCCGCGCGAAGTAGTACACTGTCACCTGGTCGAAGCGCACATTCTTCCTCCGCAGCTGCTTCTGCCGCTTCAGGATGGATGTGGCTGAGAAGGAAGCATGGGGCAGTTGGTCACCCAGAGGTGGCCTCTGCAGCCACCTGGCTCTTTCACATATCCTGCTTCTCAGCATTCCTTCCCCCAGAGGGCTCTCTGCTCCGACTGACCTTCCCAGTTCTCAGGTCAGGCCTGCACAGCTGGAAGGGAGGAGTGGCACGTCACTGGGTCAAAGCACCACCCCAGGACTGCCTTCACCCAAACAGGACCACACAATCCATTTATAGGCATGGCCAGGAGGGGGCGCGCTCAGGAATCTTTTCATGACTCAAGTCTCTAGCTACATTGTCCAATTCAGTAGCCAAATGTGGCTACTTGTTTCTATTTTTTTTTAAGTTTCTATTAATGAAAATGAAATACAATGAAAATTTCCGTCCCTCACACGCAACTACTGGCTACTGAATTGGGTGGTGAAAACACAGACCATTCCTACTCTAACAGAAAATGCTACTGGAACAGTATTGATCTCTGGCAGGAATTGGTGAGCCAGAGATTTTAGGCTTCATAGGCCACAAGGTCTCTGTTGCGCTTCCTCAATTCTCTCATTGTGGTGTGAAAGCAATTACAGACACCAGGTAAATCAATGGACGGGCTGTGTGCCAATAAAACTTTATTTAACCAAACTGGTCACAGGCCCACACAGGCAACCACTGGATTTATTGTACCTGAAGGAACTGAGCCACACAGATGAAAATGGCTTAACTTATGCCAGCTACAAGAGGTGCAATTTTTAGGAGTTCTGGTAGGAAAGATTAGTGCCCCAAGCACTCTCTTCTTCAACACAGTCCAGGCTCCTTCTGGAGAAGTAAAATCAGCTGGAACAAATGAGACTCAAGTCTACGGCTAGTACAGCAGCTCACTGCCGTCAAGTTAATGTTGACTCACAGTGCCCTGCTGTGGGTTCCTGAGAGTGTAGCTGTTTATGAGAGTAGAAAGCCCAGTCTTTTTCCTCCAAGAAGTTGCTGGTGGTCTTGAACTGCCGACCATTTGGAGCTCAGGCCTATGTATTTATAACCCGCTACATCATGAGGTATGCAGGCAGCAGAGTCTCCCGAAGAACCACCACCAGGTTGTGCTAAGAGTAGGAAAGACTGTGACTCCGGCCAAATCCCCCAGCTGGGCGGGGTTGACACAGAGCTCGGAAGCCTGGGTGCGGGCAGGAGGGGCAGCTCACTCACGTGTGAAGCTGCTGCTGGCTGGGGGATTGAGGCTGTCGCAGCTGTCGGCACTGTCACTGCTGGAGACCTCGTCGTCTGAATTGGAAACGGAGGAGCCCACATCCACATCATCGAACTTCCTCTTGAGACCTGAGCCCGTGAATGCATCCATTGGCTTCTGAAGGGTTTTCCTTGGGGAGCCCACCACGTTGGCCCCAACGCCCCAGCTCACCAGCAGCCAGCGGGGCGCATTAGGATTCTGCCGGGGAGAAGAAGCGTCAGCATTCCTGCCCTTAGACAGTCCACCCACACACCCTCACACTCTGTATGATGGCTATGCTCTGGGAGACGAGGTCATTTGTCTCTTCTGATTTCCATCAACGTTCTCCCGCCTTTTGTTTCCCCTCTTAGAAAAATGATACGGAGTGGCCCCAGCACCCTTCCCGGTTGAGCACAGGCCTCTGGTTCTAAGCCAGCTGGCCTCTAGCCTTCATTAGCACAGGGATCACAGGAGCTGCTCTTCGGATCACACAGGAGGGTGGGATTGGGGTTCAAGCACAAAATTAGGCTTTGCCTAAACCTAGTTGAGACCCAATTATTTTTCGAAGTGAAAATGTAAGCCTGGCAGTTCCCAAAGTGTATACCTTAATAGACTAGTTGCAAGAGTAGTAATAGCTTTTACATGGAAACAGCCCCGGCCGGGTCCAAACAGTGTAGAACCTCTCAGGGCCTTCCATTATGCTAATGAGCACAGTGAGGCAGAAGAGAAAACACAGAATGCCCTGTTTCTGCCAACCTGGAGATGTAACCCTTCAGTTCCAGAATGCTTGGGGGGGTGGGGGGAGATGGAGGGCGGTGGCAAGTGACCCTCGGGGCACACCCTGGGAAATACTGCTTTGCACTCCCGTTTCTTAAGACATCTGGCAGCTAGGAAAACCCTTCACCCAGATCTTCACAAGTACCGAGTGTCTCATCAAGTTCCTAAAAAGGTCAACTTTGCTCCTGGAGAATGGATGGAAGATTAGAATCTGTTCTGGTTTCCAAACCCACCATCTCTGCCAGCCTCGCACCACGCCACAAAAATGGGCCTCATCTCACCTCGCATCCACCTCTGCGCCGGGAAAACGCAGCCTCCCGATCCTCACCCGCAGTGAAAAGGTCAGAGAGAGAGAACACGGGGCTGGAGAAGGATCATTTTTTTAAGAACACAACCAAGGAGTCCTGATAGCCCCCCCACTTCCAGGGTACTCCTTGCCTGTCTTCTCCACCTCTGGATGGCATTTGGGAAGGATGGGCATCGGCTGGGGCCCCATGCTCTGCATCAGTCAGGCCAGAATCGCCCCAGACTATGATCTCACCAGTTGCTAATGATGCAGCAGCAATACCACTGCCCAGAAAGACAGGGATGCATCACCGCAGGGCAGCTACGCAACCACCGAGAGGCGCCTGCGACGAGCTTGCTTCTCTTTGGGACTGGGGCTCTTGGAAGTTATGTGTCTGCTCTGGAGTCGGCTCACCATCTCCAACCAGACTTCCCAAGTCAGACTTCCCAGAAGGCATGTCCCACAGGGATCTATCTATCTATCCATCCAGGTCACATCCAAACTCTGCCTCCAAGTCACAAAATGTCCCTAAGAAAGCTCAGCCTCCACCAGTCTCAAGACAAGCATAGGCCTGAAATCAAATGTGCCCAGGGTGTGTGTTGGGGACGGGGACAAGAACTGTACGTCAGAGTGGAAAAGCAAGCCCAAAGCACCAGTTGGGTTTTTCGAGTCACCGATCCTGCTGGCGGAGGTCACATTTCTAGGACGTGGTAAGAATAGAGAAAGCCGGGGACATTTTTATGGGTTATGATTTTAGCTGGGTTTAAAGATACCAAGTCACTAAGAAACTTTTCATTTCTTTCTATTAAAAGGGTGGCTGAGTATTTATATAGATGGAATCACGTTGACCATTAAGCCGAGTGCCAATTTTCCTACTTATTTAAGGAATGCCTTCCCAACGACACACGAGAGAGCAAATGCAACCGAGAACCTGCTCTTTCAAAAGGGGCTCTCGCTAGTCACCGCTCCAGTTTCCAGGCAGCGCTGCCATTAGGAAAGAAAGCACTGTCTCTTCAGTCGGGAAGCCCTCCGGGATTTAAGCAGGCCAGAAGCAAAGGTGTACTCTCGTTCTCGGCTCAGGTGTCCCCGCCTCCAGTCACGTGGCTTCTGTTGGAGCATTTCTCTTCCAGTCCCCCAGGAGCCTGGGTCTGGTCCACAGGCACCTTCCAAGCTAAGAGGTCTCCAGGGTCTCAACGCAGCTGCCCCGAGAGGTGGTCGCTTCTTTCTGGGACTCACAGCGCCCCCAGAGGGCAGGGTGGAACTGCCCCCCACCCCCGGGGTGTATGGAACTAGAAAGCCTGCTCTTTTCCCCCAGAATGGCTGTTAGATTTGAACCACCAACCTTGCAGCTAGGAAAGGTGCCTGCTTCTTCATTGTGGCTTGGAAGGAGACTCACTGAAGGAGTGGGAAGCAGCAAGCAAGCAGCCCAAGTTTACCCCGCAGTGCCACAGGGCTCGCTGGGAGCTGGAGCGGGCTTGCTGGCTGCCTTTCCCATTCTCCTCCCCTTCTTCCAGGTCTTCCTCACTTCCGCTTCGGAAAGAGGGCTTTCGGAGCAATGGTGAGGACAGGGAGGAGTGGGGAGAGAAAGAAAGAAAACAAAGGTGTGGAACCTAAGAGAAAGATCATTTACTACAAAATACAGGGAACACAGGTAATCTGCGTCTCTATGTGTGAAACTTTGCATACATACTGACCTAAGACCTAACCACTGCCATTAGCTTTGATAGAAAGAATCCTCAAGGAAACCCCAGGCTTCTGGGGTAGGACCTCCACCCCAACCCAGGACCTGTTAGCATCCCTGTCTGATATTATCCCAGTACAATGAACAGTTTGTCTTGACAATGGACACGACCTTACTGTCCTCGTCCAACTCTCGACTGTGAACTTCACTTGTTATGACACAGATGTTCCCTGGACCCCACCAGGAGCACACCCCATCTACTTCCACAGTGGCTCCCAGCCTCTCTCTTTTGCAAGAGCAACAACTAGAGTAAGCTTCACTTTCACTCCTTCAGGGAATCTCCTTCCAAGCCACAATGCAGAAGCAGGCACCTTCCCTCACCCCACTAGTCATGTATGGAGGTTCGATGCCTGTGATCAACACACACGTACCCAGAGGTATCCATCACTCACTTACATCCAAGGAAACCATCCAGGTGAGACTGGAGAGGCGGGTCACCAGCGACACTCGACTGTCAAAAGGACCAACTCAAACAACAAATGGCGGCGATGGGAGAAAATGGTGCCAACCTCTCTCAAAGCTTTTAAACGCCCGTGAAAAGAAATACCAGCTGACATTTCCTGGCTACATGCCTTGTGGTCTTTTTTCAAGGGTTTCTAGCTGAACATTTCCCAGAGGTGTTAGGAAATAGTTCAGATCTACAAGCACATAGAAGACAGGAGGCTGGCACCAAATAAAATCCAGCACATTTGTAATTTTGTATCAGATCTAAATCTTTTCAGGCCTATGAGGAATGTTACCACCACATGTGTGTGTGTGTGGGAGGGGGTGGAGAACCCAGCTTGTGAGACTAGCAGAGGAGGAACTAGCCAGGGGGGGGGGGGGCGGTTAAAAAGCTGTGGCTGCAGAATATATATGCAAACTTAGAGTCCGTGTAAGCCTCTCAAATGGGGCCTAAATAGCAAAGGAAAGTAAACCTCACAGGAGAGAGTCTCTGGACTGTAAGGCCAGTTTTGGCTTAAGGTCAAGGGGCAGAAACATCTAGAAAGAACCACAAGGCCACCACCCACACTTGGGTCAGAAGAAAGCAGGCTGCCTGCTCTGTGTTGTGATAAACCTGAATCAGATGACCTGTCTCGTTTCTCCTTTTAGAAGAGACTGCAAGGAAGGGAAATACTCAAGCACTAGGAATTCAATGATCCATGTGTCCTGTGATCACGAACTCTCATTAAGCACTTCCGTGAAAACATCCTGTCTAAACTAGGTAATTAAAGAAAGCACACAGACCCCTCACGGCTCTGCTCTGTCGGCCCATTCACTAGCACAAGTTTGGAATTTGGCTATCCAGGTCTTAAGCCACTAAGAAATGGGCGCCACAGGCTCTTGATAGGAGAACGGGAGAGGAACCATTGTACCCAGTCATGTGTTCACTCTGGCGTACACACCAACATCCTGGCTTTGGAGATTTGCAAGATGGAAAGTCAGTGAAAGAAAATTTGAATCAACTACGGATTTACCTTGAACTGATAAACTGCAGGACAAGAGGACAGTGTGCCTCTTGGGAACGCTGGCTACCATTTCATATTGGTGAAAGGTGCGTGTGTCAAACTGCCACTCTAAACCCCTTTAAAAGGTTGAGTCAAGGCCATGCCACTAAAAGGGATGGGTGTAGTCAGCTGCGCCTTAGGGCCTGTGAAAAAAGACTGTGCTAGTAGCCACCAGGGCAAGTGAAGCTTTCGTTTTCCCACACTACGCCAGAAAAACGGGAGACGTCAGGAGCTGAAGAGACAATGTCAAGTCACCAGCTTCCTTCAAAGGACACCCCAGCTGAACCCTTCGGATCTGGGCTCATTTTTCTGCCTCCCGCTAACCTTCCCGCTCATTCCAATCGCTTCAGCTTTCCCATCCCTTCCTGCCTGCTCTCACAAATTCCCAACCAGTCCTTCCCACATTTTCCTCTATTCTCCACCCCCCGCCCCCCCTTCCTTCACTTTCCTCCATCCTACATCATCTGCACTCCGTCCCGAATTCAACCCTCTCCCGCAATCCTGTCGGCTTCCTAGCCGCCTATCGGGCTGCCCCCAGCGCCCCCCGCAGCCCC